CGTACGTCATGGAAACCGGCGCGCAACGTTGCCAATGCGCCGGCCCTCATAGCCGACTTCCACCGGAAGAATCCGAACGCCCCTCGCCGCCTCAATGCCGCTGTCTTTGGTGGTCTCAACTTTCAGCCAATGCCTTCGCCGCTAACTGAAGCGCACTGCCGCTCCGGGTGGGAGATGGGCAAGGGCGCCTCGCATGAGGTCATGCGCTGTTGAGGGGGGGGTAATGTCACGACTTGGCACGGTGCCTAGCCGTTTTTTAATTTTTTCCTTTTCGCAGGCTCGAACCCGCGACCTCTGTACTACTTGCCTCATACGGACACATCATATCTACTGTACGATTAGATTAGATAGGACGGCAGTGCACGGCACAGCTCGGGCTCCGCTGACACAGCCGCTCTGACTCACCGGCCCCCGGGGCCGCGTCGGCATGCTGTGCACGGACCAGCTGCGCACGGACCAATGCGCACAGCCTGCCCTTATCTCCCCATGTATATAAGCCGGCCTCTGCTGCCCTAGGGACCTCAGTTTTGACCTCTTGTCCCTAGGTCAGTAAGTGTTCATGTATCTGCTTACTTACTTATACTAACTAAAATATTACTTGTCCCTAGCCTTAGGTTTGAGCATTGCTCACCATCGCTTCAGTGAGATCTAGTTGAACGCCCCCAGCTCTTTAGGTTTTCCCTGTCGCTTGACCTCAAGTCGCGACATTAGGTCGAAACTCCCCATAGCTGCCGGCGTTTCCTTGGGACTCCTACAACTCACATTCGCTTCCTATAGGTTGGGTGGTGCGCACCCTTACTGTACCCTACGATACCTAGATAGCGTACTATACATCACCACCACTTAGGGGACGAACTCTTCAGTACCTGCACTTCAGTGGGTGGTACTTGTCCTCACGGACGCGTGGCTTAGGTTCCTGCTGCATACTAGCCAAAAGCAGTACTGGGCCCCACATGAACTGCGAACCCTAGTGTTACCTCGGGCGCCGTAGGTGTAAGCTAGTCTAGCACGGCCTTTCGTAGCACGCGCACCTCACCTTCCTCCCCCCCATCACCGTGGCTGACAAATTCTTCGACTGCTCTCGAATTGAGCATGCCTTCGACACCCAGGAGCAAGTCGACGTCTCCCGCGACGACCCCGAAAGCAACGGGAATCGAGCTCCCTTCTTCATCTGTGATCGACAACCGTGCCCTAATCATACTCCGCGGTCCATCACTACCGACGAAGGGCATTACATGCCAATCCGACGAGTCCAGCACCCCCGCGGCCCAGCCCTTCGGTACGCTGGCACATCGCGATCTACCTCTCGCCACGTCACTCCTGTCCCATCTTGACCTGCCTCTCCAGGTGCCCGCATCCCCCAACCTGTCGCCAGTACAGGTCAAGCGCGAGGAGATCCCCATCTCCCTCGAGGAACTGAGGCAGTCGCACAGCCTCCAGCGACCCCTCAAGTGATCCCCCAGCCCTCCCTGGGGCCGCGGTTAGAAAGGCCTCCCAAGACCGAGCCCAGTGACACTCCACCGCATTCTTGGACCGGCTCGTCGTCAGCGGTCACTGCCTCGCCTTCAGTCCCTATCTTACGTAACCCCGCCCCCGGACTTCCTCCATCGCCTTCACCGCCATCGCCGCCGCGAGGCCACGCAAGCACTTGTTCCTCGCGAAGTTCGCCCGGCGGACAGTCACAACAGCTGTCTTCGCCCGCGGGCAGTCCTCCGTCCCCCTCGTCGCCGGTAAGGTCCTCGCCAGTGTCCCCCCCTGATAAGGACACCCTAAAACTCCTCCTCCCCCTCCGATACGCTGGCAAAACCATCATCGAGTGCGACAGGTTTCTGTCACAACTTCGCATCTATTGGCTGGTTAACACGTCATTGACCACCATCGAACTTAAAGTGCAGGTTGCGCTAAGCCTGCTTGACGGTGACGCCCGCACCTGGGCCACTCCATACTTCGCCCAGCTCGTATCAGTGCAACTCGGTGTCCAGGGAGTAACAACCCCTTTTGCAAACGAGGCAGCCTTTGCCACGGCTTTCAGAGCCCGCTTCGGCAACCTCGATGATGAGGCAGCGGCCCAGGTAGAGCTGGCGAAGCTCTGCGCGGACAAGTTGGTCCGTGAAAAACGCACCGCTGCAGAGTTCTCCGCGCTGTTCAAGGGTCCGGCGGATCGCTCTGGGTATGGGGACCTGGAGCTACGCGACAAGTACCTGAGCGGCATCCCCTCCCGTGTCTACCGCAAAATCGAGCTCGAGACCTTCACCACGTGGCAAGCAGCTGAGAAGCGCGCCACCGAAGTCGAGCAGATCCTCGACATCAGCCGGGCCCGTCGGCCCGAGCTGAACAACTTCTTCTCGGCACGAGGTCGAGGACGAGGAGGGGCACGTGGTGGTGCACCCTCGTCGCACGGAGCTTCGGCCAGCATCAATGCGGCCGTCGGAAAAGGAAACTTCCCCGGCACCTGCTTCGGCTGTGGGAAGCAAGGGTACCGACGATTCGAGTGCCCCAATTGTAAGGACAAGCCTTACACAAAACGCGCCGACGCGCGGGCTACGGTTGCCTCGGGCTCCACCCAGGCTGCGACAAGCACTGTCGCGACTTAGGGTCGAGCGACAGGGGAAAACCAAACGCTGGGGGCGTTCGACTTATCTTACCGAAGCGATGGTGAGCTAGGCTCAAACCTAAGGCTAGGGACAAGTAAATGTATTAGTTAGTAGGGTAAGAGAGAATACAACTGAGGGCTTACTGACCTAGGGACAAGAGGTCGAAACTGAGGTCCCTAGGGCAGCAGAGGCCGGCTTATATACATGGGGAGATTAGGGCAGGCTGTGCACGTTGGTCCGTGCGCAGCTGGTCTGTGCGCAGCATGCCGACGCGGCCCCGGGGGCCGGTGAGTCAGAGCGGCTGTGTCAGCGGGGCCCGAGCTGTGCCGTGCGCTGCCGCCCCATCTAATCTAATCGTACAGTAGATAGTGACGCGTCCATATCAGGCAGGTAGTACAGAGGTCGCGGGTTCGAGCCCGCGAAAAGGAAAAAATTAAAAAACGGCTAGGCGCCGTGCCAACTCGTGACATTACCCC